CCATCCTGCGCCCCCTCCTCCTTCTATTGCTCCTGCTCCTCCGCCTCGTGATTCTTCTCATCATCCTCACGGCCCCCCTCCCCTCCTCCTCGTCTTTCTCCTCCTCGTCATCCCCCATCCTCCTCCTCAGCATCGCCATCATCCTCATCTTCCTCCTCCTCCTCATCCTCCTCCTCCTCCTCTTCTTTCTCCTCCAACTCCTCCCGCCCCCCGACTTCTTCCCCTCCACCCCCTCCACCCCCTCCACCTCAGCAAGATCATCATCAACATCATCATCATCAGCAGCATCATCATTACCATTACCATCATCATCGTCAGCAGCAGCATTATCGTCAGCATCATCATTGTCAGCATCCTCCTCCTCCTCATCATCATCATCAGTATCAGTATCATAATCATCAGCATCATCATCATCATCATCATCATCAATATCAGCATCATCATCATGATCATTATTCTCATCACCACCATCACCATCATCATCGTCGTCATCATCATCGCCCTCCTCCTCCTCATCATCATCATCATAATCATCATCGTCATCATCATCATCATCATCACCATCACCATCATCACCATCACCACCACCAGCATCAGCATCAGCATCATCAGCATCATCAGCATCATCAGCATCATCAGCATCATCAGCATCATCAGCATCATCAGCATCATCAGCATCATCATCATCACCATCATCATCATCATCATCATCATCATCATCATCATCATCATCATCATCATCATCATCATCATCATCATCATCATCTCCATCTTCATCTTAATCTTCATTATCACAATCCTCATCATCCTTATCATCATTTTCCTCGTCTTTTTCCTCCTTCTTCTCCTCCGCCTCCTCTCCCCCCCTGGAGCCTCGCCCCCTATCACCCTCTTCCCCCTCTCCTCCCCCTGATCCTCACCCTCCTCCTCCTGTTCCTCCATCTCGGCTTCATCGTCCTCCACCTGCTCATTGCCCTCCTCGACCTTTTCCTGGCCCAACTCCCCATCCTCATCCTCCTCCGCATGCTCTTCCTCCTCCTCCTCCCCCTCCTGCTCCACCGCGTCCTCCTTCTCCTCCTTCTCCTCATCCTGCTCCTCCTGCTCTTCCTCTTCCTCCTCCTCCTCCTCCTTCTATTCCTCCTCCTCACCATTTCCCTCCTCCTCATCCCCCTCATTCGCATCCTCCTCCTCATCATCCTCATCCTCCTGATCATCATCCTCATCATGCTCCCCCTCCTCCCCCACGTGCTCTTCCCCCCGTGCTCCACAACCCTACCTCGACCTCTTCCTCCCCATCCTCCTCCTCCTCCTCCTCCAGCAAATTCCTCCCCCTCCTCCGCGTCCTCATTCTTCTCCTGCTCCTTCGACTCCCATTCTCCTCGTCCTCATACTGCTCCTCATTCCCCTGCCCCCCTCCTCATCCTCCTCCGCATCCTCCTCCGCATCCTCCTCCACCTCCTCCTCCTTCTCCTCCTGCTGCTCCACCGCGTCATCCGCCACCACGCTGTAGGCCGGAGGTTCGCAGTTTCCTGTACCAGTTGCAGCTACCAGTTTCCACTGTTACAATTATGCTTCTTGCTGCTAACTCTTCCTTGTTGAGTTCTTGCTGCTTACTGTTCCTTGTTGATGGACCGCGCGTGGGGGGGAGGCCCAAAACGGGTATTTTTACAACGCCCAAATCGTATTGTCTGAATTGCTGGGGTAAGTAATAATCTATACCCCTCACGCAGATCGGCGGGGTCAGGGTCCAAAAACACAAGGGATTTGCCACATTTCTGAAATTCGGCGGCACCCCTCACGCAGATCGGCGGGGTCAGGGTCCAAAAACATATGGAAGTTGCAACATTTCTAAAATTCGGTGGCACCCCTCAGGGTCCAAAAACACATGGGATTTGCCACATTTCTGAAATTCGGTGGCACCCCTCACGCAGATCGGCGGGGTCAGGGTCCAAAAACATGCGGGACTTGCCACATTTCTGAAATTCAGCAGCACCCCTCACGCAGAGCGGCGGGGTCAGGGTCCAAAAACATATGGAAGTTGCAACATTTCTGAAATTCGGTGGCACCCCTCACGCAGATCGGCAGGATCAGGGTCCAAAAACATATGGGATTTGCCACATTTCTGAAATTCGGTGGCACCCCCCACGCAGATTGGCGGGGTCAGGGTGCAAAAACACAAGGGGTTTGCCACATTTCTGAAATTCGGTGGCACCCCTCATGCAGATCGGCGGGGTCAGGATCCAAAAACACAGGGGATTTGCCACATTTCTGAAATTTCGGTGGCACCCCTCACGCAGATCGGCAGGGTCGGGATCCAACAACACATGGGATTTGCCACATTTCTGAAATTCGGCGGCACCCCTCGCGCAGATCCGTAGGGTCAGGGTGCAAAAACACAAGGGGCTTGCCACATTTCTGAAATTCGGCGGCACCCCTCACGCAGATCGGCGGGGTCAGGGTTCAAAAACGTATAGAAGTTGCAAGAATTCTAGAATTCGGTGGCACCCCTCACGCAGAGCGGCGGGGTTAGGGTCCAAAAACATATGGAAGTTGCAACATTTCTGAAATTCGGTGGCACCCCTCACGCAGATCGGCAGGGTCAGGGTCCAAAAACATATGTGATTTGCCACATTTCTGAAATTCGTTGGCACCCCCCCACGCAGATTGGCGGGGTCAGGGTGCAAAAACACAAGGGGTTTGCCACATTTCTGAAATTCGGTGGCACCCCTCATGCAGATCGGCGGGGTCAGGATCCAAAAACACATGGGAGTTGCCACATTTCTGATATTTCGGTGGCACCACTCACGCAGATCGGCAGGGTCAGGACCCAAAAACATATAATTTTTCCACTTTTCTGAAATTCGGCGGCACCCCTCGCGCAGATCCGTAGGGCCAGGGTCCAAAAACACATGGAATTTGCCACATTTCTGAAATTCGGCGGCACCCCTCACGAATATCGGCGGGGTCAGGGTCCAAAAACATATGGAAGTTGCAACATTTCTAAAATTCGGTGGCACCCCTCAAGGTCCAAAAACACATGGGATTTGCCACATGTCTGAAATTCGGTGGCACCCCTCGCGCAGATCCGTAGGGCCAGGGTCCAAAAACACAAGGGATTTGCCACATTTCTGAAATTCGGCGGCACCCCTCACGCAGATCGGCGGGGTCAGGGTCCAAAAACATATGGAAATTGCAGCATTTCTGAAATTCGGTGGCACCCCTCAGGGTCCAAAAACACATGGGATTTGCTACGTTTCTGAAATGCGGTGGCACCCCTCACGCAGATCGGCGGGGTCAGGGTCCAAAAACATGCAGGACTTGCCACATTTCTGAAATTCAGCAGCACCCCTCACGCAGATCGGCGGGGTCAGGGTCACATATGGGATTTGCCACATTTCTGAAATTCGGTGGCACCCCTCACGCAGATCGGCAGGGTCAGGGTCCAAAAACATATGGGATTTGCCACATTTCTGAAATTCGGTGGCACCCCCCACGCAGATTGGCGGGGTCAGGGTGCAAAAACACAAGGGGTTTGCCACATTTCTGAAATTCGGTGGCACCCCTCATGCAGATCGGCGGGGTCAGGATCCAAAAACACAGGGGATTTGCCACATTTCTGAGATTTCGGTGGCACTCCTCACGCAGATCGGCGGGGTCAGGATCCAAAAACATATGGGATTTTCAATATTTCTGAAATGCGGCGGCACCTCTCGCGCAGATCCGTGGGGCCAGGGTCCAAAATCACAATGGATTTGCCACATTTCTGAAATTCGGCGGCACCCCTCGTGCAGATCCGTAGGGTCAGGGTAGAAAAAACAAACAGGTCCCGACACTGCTTCACGGCGAAGCCAAAGCCTCATGACTTCGCTCTTCCCATGGCCCATTCTCCGAGAGAGAGGCGGCCGGCGGCAGGGGGCGAAGCCCTTGCGGATATGAAAGCCATGTGATGTCAACAATCTCGTCCACAACGCGCATTCTCATCTCACCACGCGGTGCAGCTGCGCTGATCCAGCATGGGTCCACTTTTCGAATCCGTATGAAATCATGCCACGCGGGCCAGACGCGCGCGCCGCCACGCGCGCGTGCCGGAACCCTTCTAGAACCATGGGTTTTCATAGCGTTTCAAACTATACCTTTCCCAAAAGCCTCGGACCCCCAGGTTTTTCGAACGAAAGCTTCGCCAGATTTCTTGGATTTCTGCGCGCGCACTTCCTCACTGCCGCCCGAGTCAGCGCCGTCGTCGTCATTAGCCTGACCACAGTCATCGTCGTCATCGCCACCACAATCGCTGCTCTCATCATCGTTGCCGCCGCTGTCGACGTCATCATGACGTCGCGCCCGCCCGAGTCACCGACTCGCACTGAAGTGCCCGCGCGCCAGCGCGGCCTTTGAGGCGCGCTGGGAAGCTCCCATCGGTGAGCGCCATCGCGGCCACGTCGGTTGTGCCTAACCCGCTGGCCGCTCTGCTCGCGACGGTGCGCGCGCAAGCGCGGCCACACGGACGCGCTAGCCAGTGCCAGGCAGTCACTGCAATCGCGGCCACGTTGGTTTTGCAACAAACGTTGCGGGTAGGAGGGTGGGATGTTTGCGTGAGAAGCGGGGTTCACAACCCATGGTTTAATTTTTTATGCCAATGTAGATGTTACGCATTCCTACTTAATAATCGTGCATCTGCACGTATGCATGCCTATGCACGGTGGCAACACACAGCACCCTGCCCACGTCGAAGCTTCGGTTGCGCGGGCTGGATCATTGGACCACGAGTGCCCGCGCCGTCTGCAGAACGGAGAAAGGTTGGACTGCATTCTTGCCTCGCCCCTAGTGGCTGCTCAGCCCGCGCCGGCGTCGGGGTCGTCGCGCTGCCGACGACGCTGGCAGTGAGACTGCACATCGAGCACGCCCAGCGTCTCCGATGGCACACGTCAAAAGAGAAATACTGCGAAGGAAGGAGGAAACGATGATCCTCCTTGGCAGACATGTGGCCACTTTGGCCCGACATCTCAATCCATAGCGTACAGGCTCAACTTCTGAGCTGCATTGCTTCCCTGGGCCCTGGGAGGGCTTCCCCGAGCGCTTGGTGGGGGGCTCCCCCGAGCGCCTGGGGGGGCGCTTTTCCAAGCGCTCGGCGGGGTGCTTCCCTGGACTCCGGGTGGGCTTCCTCTGGCACTGGGTGGGGAGCTTCCCCGAGTGCTGTGTGCGGTGCTTCCCCGAGCGCTCGGTGGGGGGCTTCCCCGAGCGCTGGGTGGGGGAGTCAGCAGCATGTGCGTCATCAAGGGCTCTGGAAAGCAGCCATCCCGCTCGTGGCCCGGGCCTGCGTTCGCATCGATGACCTCCCGGCGGTCTCTGCCGCTGCAGTCGCAGCCGCAGCCGAAGTACTTCTCGGAGACCTGGCCCATGATGCCGAAGGCGGTCCAGCGCGACAGCTCCAGGGCCTGCCGCTTCCGGTCGTCCGCCAGCATGCGCACCACGTAGGCGCGCCTGGACATCGCAGCGACTCGCGACTGCAGCCCCTCCCTCGCGGCCACCAGCTCCCCCAGCGAAGCCTGCCGCAGTGCGACGCACCTCGCGGATGCCTGGAGAGGGAGGAGGAGGAGGAGGAGGGGGAGGAGGAGTAGGAGGAAGAGCAGGAGGAGGAGGAGGAGGAGGAGGAGGAGGAGGAGGAGGAGGAGGAGGAAACTCCCTCTCGAAGCTGCAGGCGGCCGCCGGCATGTGCTGAGGCCCTCCGCCGCCGGGCAGGAGGAGCAGCCGCCTGCAGACGTGCGTGCGCCAAGACACCAGCGCCCTGCTGGCGGCGTTCCTGCACCGCCCCTGCGCCCTCGCCTCCACTCGCGCCGCCAGGCGGCCCCTGTGGCCTCGCCACACCCTGCTCGGCATGAAGGAGGCGTTCGCGGAGCTCGCCATCGCTCGGACGTCCCTTTCCCGTGCGCTTCTCGGCTGCGTGCGCGTTTTTCTTTTCTTGTCTCGCAAGAAGACCCGGGATGCTGCTCGATGGCCATCGCCGAAGAAAAATATGCACACGTCCAAACGATGCCAAGTGAGCGAAACGGGTCCTGGACCTTAGGGTTAGGTCGGGCATATCCTCCTACAGGCGGATTTTGGACGAAAAATCAGCAATACTCAAACAGTATGCAAACATACGCAAAAAATGATCGAACATCGTCCCCAGACTATTTTTTGACTCTTTTTGAATATTCCTCCTGAAGAGGGACACGCCCGACATAACCAAGGGGGGCCCTCCCCAAGAGAAGGGCTCTTCCTCCAGAGTCGCTCCTCCTGACGGCCCTGGGGGGCCCAGGCCCGGCCCCCCTGGGAGCCCGAGAACGGCGAAGACCGAAAAAGAACAAGAAGGAGGAGGAGCAGGAGGAGGAGGAGGAGGAGGAGGAGGAGGAGGAGGAGGAGGGGGAGGAGGAGGAGGAGGAGAGGAGGAGGAGGAGGAGAACGAGGGGGTGGAGGAGGACGAGGAGGAGGAGGAGGATGAGGAGGAGGAGGAGGAGGAGGAACGCCATAAACAGAAACTTTTGGCGCCCCGCGCGGATGTCTTGGATCTGCGCTGGACCCCCTCCCTGGCGCGCGGAGCGCGCCGAGGGCGGCGCTGGAGGCGCCGCCGCGGGGGGCCCAGCGCGGATCCGAAGATCCGCGCGGAGCGCCACCAATTTATGTGCATGGCGCTTCCTCTTCTGCGAGGACAAGCTCCAAGACTCCCTTCTCTCCTGGACCCGCTTGCTTTAGGTCGGGCGTCTCCCTACAGGCGGGTTTTGGGCGAAGGCTTCAAACATACCCCCAAAATACTCAAGAATAGTCCAAACATCGCCCTCAGACTATTTTTCCAAACTATTTTGGAATCTTCCTCCCGTCGAGGGACAGGCCCGACTCAACGCTTGCTCCATGGCGACCTCTGCAGGAGGCAGGCCGAGCACCACCTCCGCAGGGCGCGCCGCCGCCGCACGGCGGCCCGCCGCCAGCGCTGCAGCCTGCGGGCCGCGGTGGCCGCTCGCAGCAGCCAGGCCCGGAGCCGCCGCGAGCGCAGCCAGAGCTGGAGGGCCCGGGGGCGACGACGAGGGCGAGCAGCACCGGGGAGATCAACACCCAGGCATCGGGCGTCTCGCGAAAGTCGAGGCGGAGGTTTCTTCCTCGCTTTCGGCCTCTGGGGGCCCTTATGCTGGGCCTCGGGGCCGTCAATGACACGACTCGGGCTGAGAAGCCGGTCCCGGGGAAGTGGTTGAAAGGTCGGGGCCCCGCGTCTCGAAAAGAAGTTGAGGCGCCGGATGTCTGGGAACACATGTATCCAAGGGCGGCGATGGCTTGTGCCTTCGGCGAGGCTCCCGGGCGAATGCGTGTGGCGCCGGAAGCGCCGCCGCGGGGGGCCCAGCGCAGATCCAAGAAAACCGCGCGGAGCGCCAAAAAATTATGCCCCCCCGGGCTGTGCGCGCCCCCGTCGTCGCCTCCGAATGGCGCGTGCCGCGCGCAAGCTGCGCAGGCGCAGCCGGCGCGCGGCCACCATGCGCCGGGCGCTCTGCACGGCCAGGGCAGCGCTCCTGAGCATCGTCTAATCGATCCCCATCCCCAGCGGCGTGGCCTGGGCCCCACTGGCCGCTTTACCCCCCTGGATGGGGATATAGGCCGTCCCCTGGGGGCTTCGAGAGGTACATCCCCAACTGGGGGGTAATTTGGTGGGGGTCTCGAAGGGGATGGGGATGGGGGTCGTTTCGGGGATCTTCTAACCCGGGTCAATCCAAACCCGGGTCGGTCAGGCCTTGCAGAATCCTGCAAGATCCTGCTGGATCCTGCGCCCAAGCCCGGGTCAATGCGACCGTGGCCCTGCAGGATCCTGCAGGATCGGGGGCTCTGGCTGACCCCCGTTTGCATTGACCTCCGCCTCTTGAGCCCCGATCGGTTCAACGATGCCGAGCTCCAGCGCCGCAGGGCCCGCGCGAGGCGGCGGGCCAGCCAGGCGCGGGCCTGGGCCTGCAGCCGGAGCGCGGCGCGTACGGTGCGGAGGAAGCGCCAGCGGCAGAGGCGGCCGCGCCACCAGGCCTGGAGGTAGGAGCTTCGGTGCCACGGGAAAGGTCCTAGAAGCTCGGGGGGAGAAGCGATGGGGTGTGGCTATCGGCCAGTTGTGCTCTCAAGATCTCCCAAGGAGGAGGAGGAGGGGGAGGAGGAGGAGGAGGAGGAGGAGGGGGAGGAGGAGGAGGAGGAGGAGGAGGAGGAGGAGGAGGAGGAGGAGGGAGGAGGAGGAGGAGGAGGAGGAGGAGGAGGAGGAGGAGGCCTGCGCACGGACGGTGGCGTCGCGGCGGACGCGGCTCAGCGCCGAACTCAGCACCTCTACGCCCTCTCGCTTCTGGAAGAAGGAAGCAAGCTAGAAACATAAGCTTTTGGCGCTCCGCGCAGGTTTTTTGGATCTGCGCTGGACTCCCCTGCCTGGCGCGCGGAGCGCGCCGTGGGCGGCGCGGGAGGCGCCGCCCAGGGGGCCCCAACGCAGATCCACGAAATCCGCGCGGAGCGCCAAAAGTTTATGTTTATGGCGTGTTTTCTCCTTCGAGCTTCAGGAACAGGAGGGTCCCGCCGAGCGCCCAGGAGCCGCTCGGCAGGGTCTGCGAGAGGCCCTGGAAGAGGACCTGCGCGGCCGTCCTGAAGCGGCCCCACAGCGCCTGCGCTTCCAGCTGGGCCTTGTCCTCTCGCCTCGCCAGGCTGCGGAAGTCCAGGACGCCCTCGCGGTGGTTCAGGCGCATCGGGTAGCCCGCGCGGCTCACCTCGATGGCCTGCAGGACCCCCTGGTACCGCAGCTGCTGCACGACGGAGGATCGGTGGAAGACGCCTGCTCGGTTCTCCGGGTTCGGCTTGATGCAGCGCACAAAGTGGGGCTCCGTGGTCCGAATGCGCTGCATCAGCGCTCTGAGCTGGCCGCGGAACTCACCAGACACAGAATACTTTTTCGCGGCAACCACACGTCGGGAGCCCGTCTGCACTGACACCGACTCCTGGGTGCCGAAGAGCCGGTCGTGCTCGAGGAAGCGATGGCGCATGAACTCGTCGGAGCCCTCCTTCACGCACCTGACGAGATCTGCGCTGAGCTCGTCCCGATTCTTCTCGAGGAATGTCTGGGACGTGTACTCCACCGGACCAGCGAAATGCTCCACGACGAAATTGCCCGGCCGCTGTCTCACGACGCCAAAAAGCTTGCTCGTGCTGTGTGCGCCCTGCAATTTCCTGCACCACTGCTCCGCGTTGCCGGCCACGGTCTGGCACTCCTGGTCCAGCATGGTCAGCAGGCCGTCCTTCGCGCTGCCGATGAGCTCGACGCTCATGGTGTTGTCGGGGAAATCCAGGGGGTCCCACGGGATGCCCTCCCGGCTGTAGAGCTCTGCCTCGTGATCGAAGATCACCTCGTTGAAGTACTGCTGCAGCAGCTCGTTGGTGAAGTTGATGCAGAGCTGCTCGAAGGAGTTGGTCTCAAAGTGCTCGAACCCGAAGATGTCCAGGAGGCCTATGAAGGAGGACCGGCAGGACTCCAGCCCGCCTGCCCCGCCGGGCGCCGACTTCTCGGCGCCGACGGCCTCGTTGAGGCGCCGCACCAGGAAGCCGAAGATGGCGCCGTACAGGTGGCGCGCCAGGGCGTCGCGGCTGTCCGAGGCCTTCGCGACGGGCAGCGGGCTCGAGATCACACCTCCGTCGCGGCCGGGCATCCTGCGCGTCTGCCAGCACAGCGCGCCACCCAGCCCCGCCGGCTCCACCCCCAGCAGGCGGCACGCGTGCGCGAGCGAGGCCCCGGAGGCGCCCTGCCCCACGGCCTCGGAGCCCTCGGAGTTGCCCGGCGGCGCGGCGAAGGCCACGTTGCCCAGGTGCAGCACGGCCAGCAGCGCGCGGGTCACGCCCGACACCTCGGCCTCCGAGACGCCGAGCGCGCGCATCGCGCCCAGCGTCGCGGTGAAGTCCCCCGACTCGTCGCGCCCGCCGCCGAGCGTGGCGCAGCCAGAGCACCTGAGGTACTCGAAGTCGCTGGGCCGGAAGGCCGCGGCGCCCCCGAGGGACAGGCCGTCGTCGCCGCCCCCCGCCCCGCCGGCGGGGGCGCCGCTGGAGGCCGCGAAGGCGAGGGCCTGGTAGAACACGTGGAAGCTGCGCTCCCCCTCCTTCGGGGGTCTCCACAGGGTGTCCCTGGCCCAGGCTGTCCCCGGCGCGTCGCTCCATGTGGAAGCCCCTGGGGCCCTCTGGGCCTCGTGAGGGGTCCTCTGGACGGGCCGCAGGGGGCCTCCCTGGGAATCCTGGGGGCACCTTGGGCCGGACACCTCCGGCCACACCGGGCTCCTGCTGCGACGTGACCCGGACCTTCTCCAGCAGGTACGTGTGCGTGCGGGCGCCGACGAGCCTCGGCGGGGAGGCCTGGGCCGCCGCTCGGCGACTCCGAAGGGCATGGTTTGCAAAGGGCTTGCGACCCGCAATCTGAGCGACGAAAAGGAGCGGGTCTTACGCGAGGAGGCATGGCGACCTTACGCTGCGGCTTACGCGGGCCGCGAGCGCGACACGCTGCATTGGAGACGAAGCGCTTACGCGCGAGCTTACGCGGGCAGCTTAATTACGCGCCAACGTCGGTGAAGGCGACCTCATTTTTTCTACGTCGCTCATCTGAGGGTCGGCCGAGGACCTCGACGGAGCTCTCCGCCGCGCCCCGAAGAGGCCCGACGAGGGCACAACGTGGTGCCGTCCCCGACCCCCGACCACGCAGATCGCACACCACACGCTGGCGCAACCTCACCGCGGTGGTTCAAAAATGGGGTCCTGAGGACGAGGTGCCCCTGCACTCCTGTGGGGCGTTCCTCCTCCTCCTCCTCCTCCTCCTCCTCCTCCTCCCCCTCCCTCCTCCTACCTCTCCTCCTCTCTCCTCCTCCTCTCCTCTCCTCCTCCTCCTCCTCTCCTCCTCCTCCTCCTCCTCCTCCTCCTCCTCCTCCTCCTCAGGACCCCATCCCTCAAGACCCCATCCTGGAACCACCGATCACCCCCTTGTAGCCGCCGAGCCTCGCCGCCGGCCTGCCGCTGGGAGGACTGGCGCCCGAACTGGAGCTCGACGAACTTGCCGAAGCGCGAGGAGTTCTCGTTGCGCAGCGTCTTCGCGTTGCCCAGCGCCTCCAGCACCGGGATCGACTGCAGAACCTGCCGCTCTGCCAGAAGAAGAGAAAAACTATATACAAACATACGCTCTCGATGGCGGGCTTGTTTCCCACCGCCACCACCACAAGTAGGAGGGGGAGGGGGTCCTCCTCCTCCTCCTCCTCCTCCTTCTCCTCCTCCTCTTCCTCCTCCTCTTCTTCCTCCTCCTCCTCATCATCCTCCACCTCCTTCCCCCCTCGGACTTATGGTGGTGGTGGAAAACAGGCCCATCATGCGAAGGTCCACGCGGATCTCTTGGGTCGATGGTGATACCCCCTCCATGGCGCACGGAGCTCGCCAGGGGCGGCGCCGGAGGCGCCGCCAGGGGGCTCGGCGCAGATCCAGGAAATGCGCTCGGACCTCGGAAGGTTTACCCTCGGGGACTTCCGCGCAGCGTGTCGCTGCGGCGGCCCTGGCGATACGCTGTGCCCTGCAAGCGGATGGCGTGTCGCTCCGCTTCGCGGGGCGGGAATTCGGGAAAGGCTCGGAAAGTTGACGCTTGGAAATGGGGACGTGGATAGCGTGTCGCGCCGAAGCGTGGTGGGCCAGAATCGGCGGCGCAACGACACGCGACGCCAAAGTTATCGACCGTATGTTTGTACAAATTTGTCTTCTTCGGTCTACGTCCGACATCGACGACTCCGCGCCGCCGCCTCCCGCCAGAGCCAGGAACCGCATCACAAACTTGGTGGTCTCGGTCTTCCCAGCGCCGCTCTCGCCGGAGACCAGCACCGTCTGGGGGGCCCCGCGCTTCCACACGCCGCGGTAGGCGGCCCGGGCGATCCCGTAGATGTGGGGAGCGGCGGTCTTCGGGGAAGCCAGAACGCACCGACACCGCTACCTCTCGGACCTCTCTCGGGTGCATTCATATGCCAGAATTTCGAGGCGAATCCAGCCGCGGCGACGAGGGCCTTCCGGAAGGCCCCCCCCCAAAGAGCGGAAACGAAGGAAGGGCATCTGCATCGGTGCTGTTTTCCCTCGGAACCTCCCCCTCGGCGGGGGGCTCCGCGAAGAGCGCCAACTGCTCCGCGCCGTAGAGGCCCGGCAGCTCCCGGAACGGGTTCACCGCCAGGAGCACCGGACCCGTCAGGGTGTACACCACGCCCTCCTCGAAGCGCAGCTGCAGCGCCTGCAGGATGGCGGGCTCGTGCAGCAAGGGCAGGTGGCTCAAATCGCTGTAGGACAGCGCCCCCCTGTGGCACTTCAGCGCCTCGCTGCAGAGGTGCAACGCCGCGACGCCCTCTCGCAGCGGGGGGGGGCAGAGAG